ATCACTAAGAAGTAAACCTAGGTAGAGAAAAAGACAACAGTATCCTTTCCAAGAATAAGATGTCTAAGAATTTTTCATTCAGATCAGTAACACTTGCCAAATTCCCATTTTTCACCAATAAATCATTCGATTAAAAGGTTCTCCAGAATCTTCTGGGTTTTCGTTAAGTAATCATGTTCACAAATAATTTTCCTCATCCGCAGGTGTAATCATGTTTAAGCTCTGTTTTTCAGTACATCTTACTTGTTTAGCAATATTTTATTGGCACATCACGTAATGTTTTTTTTTTGGTTTCAACGAAATATCAGTTCGAGAAAAGCTGCTAGAAAACACTTGACCCGACCATTCTTAAAAAAAGTTCTAGGATAGCAGGTTTAATGAAAAGATGACAATTTCAGCCAAAGAAATGATGAATTTCTTTCTAGAGGGAATGTGCTAAAAGTCAAAAAGTTAGTTGAATGAAAGTTAAATTTGGGTATGCATCGCATAGCAGGGCAGTTTTCTCGTGAACTATTTTGATCAAGGGATACCAAATTCGGTCATTTTTTTTTGCAGAAAATGTGCGCAGACACTGTGTACAGTAAATTGTTTCAGAACAATGAGAAATCAAAGGAAAAGTTAGTACTAGAAACGAGTTCATTGCAAAGAGATGGCAATGAACCTGTTTTATGGAAATATTCATGGTGGAGGAGATTTCAACTGATGCGCCCATATTGATGTCATTATTCGAAGCACCCTTATATCCAGGAGCCGAAAATAACGTGAGCATGCATCCACCCGAAAACAATGCATATCCATGAAGCGGCGCCTGTAATGACTAATTGGCGAGTTGCAATGAAGCACAGTTATTCTCGTGAAAATTTTTGTCAATGGTCAACACTCTCCACGTATTTCACTCTCAGTGACAGGCTGAGGCACCCAGTAACTAGCGTGAATGGTAGCAAATGCCAGCAACAACTACCCGTTGGCAAAGCTTTAGACGATTCCCTCTTCCGAGAACTGCTTACAAGCATGTTGATGACGGGTTTGACTTTCTGGCATATACCAGTATCAGTTTACCATCGAAACGAATCGTAGAGAGACCGTTTGTTCTACTGGCCCATCCACTGCACGAGAACACTGCTATCCTACTCTACCGTGCCTGCCGCCGAAAATTTTTGTAATCTTTGAATCAGCTCCTTCCAATTGTGACATGATAACCATTTACACTACTTGCAAAAAAGCCAGCGAGCTTACGGGAATTAGCCCTACTCCTATACAAAAATTCTGGATTTCAATTGTAGGAAAACCGTTTCTTTACGGTCCATTCATTCATTTCGACAGCACACTCATGTATGCTGGAACACTTCAGTTTGGTTCCAAGACGAACTTCAAAAGGAACAGTTACAGAAAATCTTTTCAAGCTGTTAGAATTCTCATTTACTAGTGCCTTTTACCTCTTTTTACCACAATTAAGAAAAGTTTTAAATTCCGATAAAAAGGGGCTTCTGTGATTTATAAGAATGTGCACAGTTAACTGTTTTTAAGCCTTACTCGAAATTTCATTTTCCATCTTCGCTTCATCTAGCTAGTCTTTAGAGAGAAGCACAAAGTTTTAAAAAGGAAATAAAAAAAAGTATGACCTGATGACCACGAATAATCATGTCGATGCCAAGTTTTTTGCATAAACTTTGAACAGTATCAGGCGAAAAAAGTTGCCCAATACCATAAACTGGCTCGCGCTCAAGGTTACTACGGAAGCCAGTATGATCAGGTGCTGTATCCGGGTCCGACCAGACCAAATCACATTCCAGCGTTCCAACTTCGAATTCTTCCAAAGGTCGTTTGATTTCTCGAATTGCCTGAACAAATGTCTACCGTTTTTCCAAGTATTTTGGTTCAACCGCTCTTAACTGATCT